AAAACCATAAAAATCGTCAAAAATTAGTAGGTGTAAGCCCTGTTTAGCACCGAGCGAAAACTTTTTTTTTAAACATTTTATTATCATTTTGTAAAGAAAGAAAAGCTGCACAACATATGTAAAATCCAGCTTGGGGGTCTCGTGATTCTGAAGCACAGCAAGAGATACAGTGTTGAAGTTGGACTGACGAAAAGGACCCCCTTGACTCTTCTTTGCTCTATACAACTTGAATTGCTAAGCATTATATTGTATGACTATAGCTTATTTTGTTCAGCTTTTAATTCTCTATCTTCTCATATATATGATGAAAAATTGCAGTGATATCTTGAGACGCAAGCTGACACATCTTTTATAGAGTAATTTTTCTCGTTTTTTCTCAAAAAGGTACGATAGTGCTAAAAGTTGGTATTGACTAACTTTCGAAAGGAATAGTATTAAAACCTAAAATTTTGAGATTGGTGGTTTCAGACATTGATGCTTTGAATGAGCAAAAAAAAATCAAAAAAAAATTTTTTGTCGAGTGCTTCATATATAGTAACGATGCTTGATGGCCTCGTGGACCCTCTCTTAAATAGTTCCCTTTACGCTTCATAGCGCATCATTGATCTCTCTAACTGTCAATAAGTTATTTTTTCTCATTTAAATCATCCGATGTTAAAACATTCATTTTCAATTGCAGTTGTCGTTTATCGGATAAATTCTGTGTAATATTATCTATAATTGTCAATGAACGATTATTCAAATTGACTCGATATATGTAATAGGTGTTAGGATATCGCAATATCTCTTCAACTTCTTGTATTGATATTGAAAACTGATAATTATCAACATGTTTTGACGTTGTTTTTACTTCAATTCGTTGAGTATCTTGAGATTTGTCAATAAAATTAATTTCAATATCGTAAGGTAATCCTGTTTCACAATTTTCATTCAGCCATTTTATCGATACATTTTCATTAAGATGATATAAATCTTTTAAATATCTATATATCCATTTTTCTCCTGTGCGTCCAATTTTTAGAAGACTTTCTTCGTCCATATCTTCGTTAGAATTTTCTGCTAAATCATCCTCATCCGATATCTTTGGATTGTTGAGATCAACATGTTTAAACTGGACTATATTTTGTTTCTTCGGTATGAAATTCAAGGCGGTATCTAAAATAATGGAGGAAGATCATAACTACAAAAGTGAAGATTAAAACTATTGAGATATTGTTAAAAAGAAAAGAGGATCATGAAAATTTCAATGAGCAGAAACACTTTTAACTCAAATATTTCTAATAGATGGATTACTGTTCTTAACAAAATTCTGATTACTGGTTGATATGATCAATAAATCATTGAAAATAGGGGAAAGATAGAATAGAAAATATTAAAGATCTTTTAAATCAAAACATTAAAAGAAAAAGAAAGATTAATAAACTAAAGAAAATACCTGTTCGATGATGTTCTTTTCGTAAATTGTTTGTGGACTGATCATCGTTGCTTATATTATTATCCTTTGTTGACTTGCTTGTTTTTTCAACCATATTGATATCAGAATTCGAAGTATTGATATCAGACTGTTGATAAGTTTTTTTCTGATTTGACTTCGATTTTGGTATTAGAAGTTTTTCTTCATTAAGTATTTTATCAGCTAGTACTGGATCATTGAAAATATTCTGGTCTGTATCGTGATTATTGATATTTTCTACTACATTAGTTTTATCTTCATTGTCATCGTTTTCCTTACTGTTGATATCTATTATCCATATTGGTTTTGATGGATCATTATCATTCATCATATTTTGTTCTAATTGATTTCTTGAATAAGCTACTAATAACTTTTTGTAATATTTATCCAGCTTATTTCGTTTATGATGACATTCTTTAACAGCATCGTCAATAATAAATTTTATCATTGTATCAATACTGTGTGAATAACGATGTGTGTTTAATAAATAAAATTTTTTAGATTTTTCATCAAGATAACAATGATAAGCATGATCAAATGATATATGTTTGTATCTATATGTCTCTTGAACACTATCAACACTGAAAAATTTCATTTGCAAAAATATTTCACGTAATTTTCGTTTGTCATATGATTCATCAAACATGTCTGTCTCATTGTATAAATAATTAGAAACAAATGGTAAAGTTTTTATATAAAATTGTTGTACATCATCGAACAGTTTTTCATTTGTAACATTTACATTTGATTTTAATACTTCAGAGAAATTTTTGCATTGAAGTTTATCAAGAAATTTTCGTCCATTTGTTGTTAAACCGTATTCTAGATGAAAGACAAGACAAAAAAATAAATTCAATGATAAATATATCTATAGATGTTATAATATGTAAGACTATACCAGGCAATTTAATTATTGGCAATCGTTCTAATTCAAATAATTGTGCCACAATTTTGTCATCGGGAATATATGGTTCATCATCAAGTTTTATCCATTCGCATTTTGTCATACTTGGTATAAGAGATCGATGTCGAAATAATTCTAAGAGAAAAAAAATGAAACAGAGTTCTTAGTTTCTACGTCGAAATGTTTATGCTAACGAATTCTTACTAATAATGCTGTCATTATCTTCATCATTTAAGTTTTCGAATATTTTCCATACATTCTCTGTTTGCTGATCAGTTATATTTTCTTTTGAATACTTTTCTAATAATCCTATGTAACATTTTACATTTGGTATCGACGGTATTTGTAATACATGTTTGAAAAAAGTTTCCAGATCTGGATACAATGCTTTGATAAAATTGTGTTCAGGCAATAAATGTGTTGAATCATCCCACGCTACTTCATTAATAAACAAAAAGTGACCAGCACATAAATCAGTCTTTTCTGATGAAGGCGAATCAGGCACGAAAACAAGTGGCCATTCCATATATCGGTTATCATTGCTCAATTCATCGTAGAGAAACTGGTATAAACGAGTCATAGTTGATATACTTTCAATAAATTTTCGTCGATATGGTGGTTGAGGTGGATTATCTAATAGAGTATTTCTTTTTCTTTCTCTTCTCTCTTAATAGATCAACTACGTGGAACACAATGGGAACATTATGAAGAAGACATCCGTAAAGATTTTGCAAACGCCAGTGAATATGTAATCAATGATTTTACATGCAATGAATTTATAGAAATATTTCGTAATAGTGAAAATCAGTGTTCTGAGCATTCTACTCTGTATCACGAAACATGCCATCAACTGTTATCATATATAAATAGAAAATGGGACAAAATTCGACATTATTGTCGAGTTAATATATTTTTGGTAAACAATCCGTATCCATTGAAAGAAGTTGATTCAACATTTTGCATCAGTTTAAAACAATGCAATTGGATATCAACTAAATGTATTGAATATATTTATAATGAACAAACCAAAGAAATAACTAAAACTGAAACAACAAAATTGAAACAACCATCGAATGTTTTTATTCAAAATGCTGATAGCTATACTGGTATGTTTATTCATTATTTCCCTTACATTGACAATATAAGGTTGAATCATGAATTGATTTTGAAACTAAACATAAACAATAAAATTGAACCTCCAGATGTAGTTTTAAGATTATTAGAATACATAAATAATTCGACATATATAGCATTATCAAACATTGATATATCACATACGAATGAAGATGATAAGAAAGACAAGACAAAAAAATAAATTCAATGATAAATATATCTATAGATGTTATAATATGGAAGACTATACCAGGCAATTTAATTATTGGCAATCGTTCTAATTCAAATAATTGTGCCACAATTTTGTCATCGGGAATATATGGTTCATCATCAAGTT